AAAAATTTTTCATTACTTGCTGAAATTCTATTACCTATCAAATTAATGAGAAACTACAGATGTATGAAGAGTACCCTTTACATTATTGCCAAGGAAATTTGTTTTCTGTGTTTGTGTTTCTTTGTGTTTGTTCAAGTTGAAAATTCCATAAGATTCTTCAGTATCCTCCATCGCCTATGGCATCAAATTCAAATCCTCTGCATGGTATAGGGTCAGAGTTAAGGCAAGTAATCCTCAGTACTCGCAACAATAAATGCAAGTGTAGCAGAGATTTCTTAAGATCTGTTCATAATCATCTAACCTTGGAAATACAAGTCCCCTATATACGAACCTCCAAGTTGCAAACTTTCAAAGATGCAAACGTGTTCACATGTCCAATCACATAAGTTAGTTCACGTGTCTGGTGTACACTGTCACACGCATGCCTCCTCTATAAGTGGCTGTGCTTTTGTGTACTTTACTGTACAGTACTGTATAGAGTACAGTAGTACAGTATCTTTATTTCAAGCCCAGGATGTCCAGAAGCAATGGTAAAAGCAGTGGTGATGTAGCTGATACCGCTAAGAATCACCAAGAGAGACAAGAGGAAGAAGAAGTAACTGAAGAACCGAAGAGATTCACGATACAGGAAATGGCAAAGGGATTTTCTTTGAGGAGGCACTGTTAGTTTTTGAGGCATAGGACCTGAATGTAGAACGGTACACAAAGGTTGCAGCTACCGTTCAGAATGCAATCTAGTGCTACCGTGTCATCTATGACAAGAAAAAAAGAGCTACTACCCAGATATCACTGGATTGTTTTTTCAAGAGTAGATAGAATTGAATCCAGCAAGGAACCAAAACCTGTGCCATCAAACGCAGGAGTGAGCAGCTTGCCCTCTGACTCCTATTGCTGATGATCCTTCAGCTCCACCACCTCCCACCTCCTCTCCCTCCTCCAGTCAGTAACTCTTCTTGCCTGTTCACTCGATGCCACCCCCTGTGTGCCAGCTGCTGTACTGGACTACTGTACTTTTCAAGGTACTGTACTATAAGATGAAAAATGTTTTCTTTCTTTTTTGTGTTTGTTTTTTATGTATTATTTGTGTAAAAAGTATTATAAACCTATTACAGTACAGTACTATATAGCCGATGGCCTTAGTTGGGTATCTAGGCTAACTTCATTGGACTTACGAACAAATTGGACTTATGAATCCTCTCTAGGAACGCAGCTCGTTCGTATGTAGGAGACTTACTGTATGGAAAATAGTGTCAGGCTGTGTATGGAGAATTTCCTATATTGTATAATTCTCCTCCTCGATAAAGGGAAATAAATGTTATATGAAAAACTCTCTAGGTTTATGTAGAAGATTTGTTTAAAATATATAATAAATTAGGGACAAATCTGTAAGGATTAGAGTTAGACCTGACCGTAAGAACATTTCAATTCCTACGTTTTAAAAACAGTTATCTTAGGAAATTCCCTGGTGGTCCAGTGGTTAGGACTCCATGCTTTCACTGCCAAGGGCCAGGGTTCAGTCCCTGGCTGGGAAACTAAGATCCCACAAGCCACGCAATGTGGCGAAAAAATAAATAAATAAAAGACAATGAAATAAATAAATAAATAAATAAAATAAAATTTAAAAAGTTATCTTCCCAAGTAAAACAAAGCAGTTAAACCAATAATAATTGCCAAAAAGTACCAAAAACTGAAGCATTAATATGTGAAGAAGAAGCCATTAACACTGCTCTGGTCAGTGATCATAATCCAGCCAAAGACCCAATATGCAATAACAGAGATGGGTCCATTTTCATCCACTATACCAAAGAGCCATCCCTAACCACCACCCACCCTCTCCCCATCACACACATTTTTTTTTTAATGACTTGGGGGAGGGGGCATGTCACGGGGGTAAGTATAACTGCATAGAGTTGTGTGGGTGAGTTAAAGAGGAATTTCTTAACCTAGTCCAAGAGCCATTACACAATATCAAATTCCTTGAATTTTACTAGTTTATTTACTCAAATGATAAAATATACAAATTCACAAGGTACTAACTCACCATTATATATTTATTTATATATATATATTCTTTATAATAGTTAAATACTTCTAACATCCATAAAATGACCCCTTGCTTTTTCCTTCATTTTGATTCATCTGGACCTTTGTCAAAAATGACAGACACACAGGGACTTCCCTGGTGGTGCAGTGGTTAAGAATCCGCCTGCTAATGCAGAGGACACGGGTTCAATCCCTGGTCCGGGAAGATCCCACATGCAGCAGAGCAACTAAGCCCATGCGCCACAACTACCGAGCCTGAGCTCTAGAGCCCGTGAGCCACAACTACTGAGCCCACGTGCCACAACTACAGAAGCCCACACGCCTAGAGCCTGTCCTCAACAACGAGAAGCCACTGCAGTGAGAAGCCCAGACACTGCAACGAAGAGTAGCCCCCACTCGCCACAACTAGAGAAAGCCCACGAGCAGCAAGGAAGACCCAACGCAGCCATAAATAAATAAATTAATTAATTAATTAATTAAAAAATGACAGACACACAAATGAAAGATTAAGTCTCAAAAATACCTGATAGAGTAGTTAAATATAATCAAAAGTGTCTTATATAAATGTCTTATCTATATATTTTATTTATAAATATCCCTGGTCTACACCACAGAAAAGTTCAATAAGCAATTCACAATTTAAACTTATGTATGCATCTTTTAAAAAATGAATTAAATTTATGATCAACAGAAATAAAAAAAATCTGTCTGGCATTTAAATAATGAAGCTAATAATTATGAGGGAAAAATTATAATTCAACTAGATGCTATTTCTTAAAAATAAAAAACCTTAAATATTGACAGTATAACATAACATTCTTCCCATGTTTAATTTCACATCCAAATCTTAAGGGTCATTTCTCAAGAATATTTAAAGCCACATCATTTTCCCAAGTGGCTCTCTCAAACCTTGAGTGATAATCAAATTACTTGTTTCAAGAAAATATCAAAACACTCTTTTGAAGAAAATATCATGTTTGTCTATTTTCTCATCCTCAACTGTTAGCCAGTCTCACCTCTGCCCAAATCTCATTTGACAATAGTGTTCCATACAATTTTAGCGATTCAACAAAGTTTTCATAGACATCATGAAATCCTCTCTCTTTTATGAGATCAGCTATTTTACTTTATAATACAACCACTTCCCTTCTCTTCCACCAATAAAAGCCTATAAAATCCAATAAAATTCCACCATTTCCTCTCTTCTGGGCTCTTGCAATGTTCCTAATGTTCCTCCTAGCTTCCAATGGCAGGGGGTTGAGAGGGACACAGAATCTCTATCCTCTACATGGGAACCCCAGTAAATACTTTAAAATCTAAAACAGATCCTACTCAAAACTCCCCCATGACTTTTTATTATCTCTTCACTTCACTTCATTCATGTATCAGCTCTCTAATACATCTAATTTCCTTCCTAGGGTACTACTTACATATTTTGTACTACTACCATATTATATTTTTGCTTATTTAGCATCTGCCCCAACCTCCACACACACACACCCCCCAAAAGGTAAGCTCCACAAAGGCAGGAAATTTGCCAGCTAGATTCAACACTTCGAACAGTGCCCAGTATATTAGAGGCATTAAATAAACAGAGCCAGTTAAATGAATATAATACTATATTGTCAACCAGTTATTAAAAGTCGTCAATAAAATTAACAAAGACCTGGACACACAGATAGAAAGAAACACTACTGTTAAAGGCTATGACAAAGAGTCATATGACCATGAGAACTATCAGTTTATTAGAGAAGATTTTGTGATATGACAACTATTACTTGCCTGCATGCACTCACATAATAAATATTCCACTGACAAAGATTCCATGTGTATCAGGAAGTGAATTTTAAGCTTAAAGATAATATCACACAGCTGAGTCATTCCCAAGTGTTTTAAAGAAAATAAAATATGGACAAAAACAAGCTGAATTACACAGGTAAAGTGACCCCAGAATCACCTAGTACTCACGCGGATTCTCCATAAAATGGTTAATGAAAAATATCAAACATCCCAGGAATGTTCTTTAACTGAATATCCCTTGTGCCCCTTCCCCACATATTGTCCCAAACTAGATCTAAAATAGCCTTCCTGAACTGACACTGGCTCTGAAGGTTAGTGTAATCTCTTGTACTGTCATTGGACTGCCTGATAATCCATGTGTTATCCTAAAACTATCTGTCTGAAAAGCTTACATTAGACCACTATCCTAAATGGATTAGCAAGTTAAAAACATGTAAAACTGCTCTCGCTTTGAACACAACAAAAAAGTTCAAATTCAAATTTTAGGTAGTAGATATTTCAAATAGAACTTTAGAGCTATATAGGGACCACAGACATTCACTGTATTTCACAAAAACTTACTGAAGGAGGCCAGTCACTACTGCTACTCAAAAACCTAGGGAAACAGTCACGAGCAAGACAAATGTAATTCCTGCTCTACTAGAGGGTACAGAAGGGAAGACAAATTAATAATGGGGAGTTATAAAGAAAATACCAGGGATATCTAAACTAACAGATCTATCTAATGGCCTCATTTTAAATCTGGGGAACGAGATCTGCAAGAAAATTCAACCGGTCAGTGGAAAAGTTAAAGGTATTAGTTTATCTAATTCTCCCCTAATATCACCTACCATTTCATGTTCTCCAGTTGTAGATTTCTAATGTCATCTGATTTTAACTCACAAAGTATTTAAAGCCGCCATTATCTTAAGAAATCCACCAAACTTTTAATCCAACAGTGAATTCACAGTATTATAATATTCTACTCACTAACTGTCCCTGGCATGAAAATTCAAAGCATTAAGGAAACAGGCTATCTCAATCTCATTTCTAGATCATGACCAAAGTAATTTCTCAGGGGTTTTTGTACATTACATGGAAAAGGCTCCTAGGGATTAATACCATATGTGCACTCTGTAACATAAATCCTAAGCAATTACAAGTTTCAAGATTTGTACCTGTGTGATGGAGAAGGAGCTTCAAATTGAGGCACTGTGCTATCCTCACTGACAGGAGAGTATAAGCCGCTCATTTCCTGGAAGCACAATTATTAGAGTTACAGACACTCCAAAGAGAAGATGTATAAATCAAAAGGAGTTATGATATCATATTCCTTTCCAATCCCAGGTTTCATCAGTCCCTTTTTGTCTCAACACCCAAATTTCTCAAGGCTTCCTTTCCACAGAGTACAAAAGCAAGGATATCTGAAAGTTAAGAGACAAGCCTTTTCTATGATGCACATTCTTAAAGAACCAGAAACACTTTAATAAATATTCATCACTAATGAAGCTACCGAATGCAGAAAAAGACAAATGTAAATAATCTGAATGAGATGTACAGTACACTATGTGAATAGTGAACTAGCTAATCATTAATCCAGGTGAGACCCTACTGATAAATATTAAGATAAATATGACAGTATGGCAACTGGATCATTAGGTTCAACTCTGCAAAGTACAGAAAAACATGATATGTCAGTCTCTACTTCAAAAATGTTCTCTGCAAACATTAAGTAGCATTCCTCTTGATTCAAATATTAGCTTTCTAGTAAACAATGGATTAAACTCTAACTTTGATCATTAACTAGAGGAAAAGGCCTCCTAATAAACTATTACTGCATAAATTATGACTGTGACTTTCCATACAATGGAGACCAATCCCATAAATTTAATGCAGCAATTTAAAGGAAAAGCAAAAACTTCATGAAATTGAAAAATTACTAGAGATGTGAGAAATTCTTGATATCTTACTTCCACTCTTTTGATATCCTCTTCCAAAACACTTAACTCCTTCTGAATCTGCTCCAGTTGCTGTAGATTAGAGAGGAGGAAATAAAAAGCCTAAACCAAACCACACAAGCATCACCACAATCATAAAATAACTTAACGTTTACAAAATGATTTCTAGGAAAATGTGCACTAATGGTTGTCAGGGTGAAATACTGAAGACAAAAAGTGCTGTAAGTTCCTATGTTAAAAAGTAAATGTAAAGATTTAATGTTTAAGAAAACAGTATTTTCTTTAATACAAGGATTGGCTTTATAATAAAAATATTAAAGATGAACAACAATGACAATATGACTTAATAAAAACAGAAGACATCCGAAGAATTTTCAAATTACCTCATTTAACTGTCAGCAATTGTCAGCATGTCAGTTAACCCCATTTTAAAAATAAAAATAAGTCTCAGAGATTAAATTCTACCACCCCAAAGCAATCACAAATTAGCCTCTTAAGCATTTTTTAAAACATATTTAAGATAATCTTTTATCTTTGATATCTTACCTACTGCACCATAACCTTTCTCCACGCCATTAAAATGCAAACATTTTAATTGTTGCATCACATTCAACAATATATTTAATCATCAGAGATTTAAGTTGTTTGCAAACTATCATAAGTAATTCTGGAACATATTAGTCTGCATTTCAAATTTCATTGATTATTAAAAATGAAATTATTCGATCAAAAGAAATAGTTAGCAAATCTTCACTGCATAAAACAAAACTGCTTTTCAGAAACACTATCAAATTTAAATTTCTATCACTTTTATGTATAAGTGGCTGTCTTAATCTAACCCAAATATATTGAGCCAATTTTTAAAATGTAAAATAACAATAACGAATACTTATGTAATAATATTTATTGCCAGGTGTGAAATAGGAACTACTACACAGGAAAATGAAGCACAGAAAGGTTAAGTGACTTGTCCAAGATTATTCAGCAAATACATGGCAGACAAACAGATTTTTAAGCGCCTTTTCTTCTGTGGCAATATATACACAATTGATAACATATTAATTCAAATATTTGCCAATCCTAAGCATTTTGCTAAGCACTGTGAAAAACAGGATTTAGAAAACTCTAGCCCTTGCCCTCATGGAACTCAGTCTAGGGAAGATGGCACAAAGTAAACCAACAGTTGAAATATCATAGAAAACATTATGATGATGGTACGTACAAAGAATTAAAGGTACACAGACTGCCCCTAACCTAGATGGAAAACTTGGGGAGAGGGAAAAGGCAACTGGATAACTGAAATAGGATCTGAAATTAAAAGAAATGCTGAGCATCGAAGGACTAACAGTAATTTGCCAGGTGGAAAAAAAGTGGGAAAAGACAGAATAAACAGAGTAAATAATAAAACACACAAAGACCGAAAAGCTATGAGAAAGGGAAATAATAAATCTGAATTTATGACAATGAATGAAATCACCCAATGTCAATCAGTCTAGGCAGAAGAGACGAGAACAAAAACTGGGTGTAGGGAACACCAACAGTTAAGAGATAGGCAAAGGAAGAAGGAGCAGCTCTATGTCAACCATCAATAAGGGCAAGGGCAAAAGCCAGGAGAAAAGATAGCACAGTATCACAGAAACCATGGTTGGGACAGGGGGAAGGGGTTAAAAAAAAAGTGATTAGCATTGTCAAATTCTTTCAACTCTTCCATCTACTTTAATAAACTTTACTCCACCCTAAAATTTTTCACACAATACTCCTACCTTAACTGAAACCTTGCTCTCCCTCAAGGACACAGTCTGCCTTGGAACTCTTTCAAATAAAAGTTGGTCAGGTGATAAATTCTCTCATGCCCCAGACTAGATGGGGACTTCCACTTCTACTGCATTCATTGGCCATTCCCAATAATTAGTCTTCCACTCTAACATAAAAAACACTCTGGTCTGGCTCAATCCAAGCAGCCAAATCACTGTCAACAAATCTAAGACATCTACAAATATCCCAGTTATTTCCTACCATCACTAAATCCTTTTGCCTTTTGGTCCATAGCCATTTTCGACTCCGCTGACCCTAACCTCTAATTCAGCAAAACATCCCATGGTCACCCCTTAACTTTTTTCTTTTAATTAACTTGAAATGCTCCACTGCTGAAATCCTTATTTAAACAAATGCTGACGGGGTCTTTAGTATGATTGTTTTCAAAACACATTTAAAGAGAAGGATGAAAGTAAACATCTAAAATATCAACATCCAGACAATATCACTTGTATGATACATAATACATACTTAAGATCAAATTAACAATTTTCATTCCACTTCTGCAACTGAAGCACCAAGAAAAAAATCCAGTATCACCTGAAATCTCAAAATACTAAATGCTAATGCCCAACCCTCTGAAGATAATGTCCCATCCTTCCAGTGCCCCAAAGCTTTGCTGGATAATACATCCATTACTATATATGAAGGCCGTATATTAGATGAACTACATAAAACTACCAATGTTCAAACAATTTTTACTTCCAAAAGCAGCAATTTCATATGGTTCAATTTAAAATAAAACAACCAAGGTACAAGGGCTGCTGTAATAAATACATAGGTATAGTGTATTGATAAAACAAAATGATGCAACCTACTTATGTGAAAAAGTCTGAAAAGGTGTGAAGACAACAAATTTTTCTTAAATTTCAGTGAATGGAAACTATTTAGAGAGCACACGTTAAATGAGGTGTTTACATTTCAAGATGAAATTCTGAGAAAGTTTAAAGCTCTAAATTATTAAGACATTGTGTTATTCTGATTTATAATAAGAAATACAGCCTCCTGTAGGGCCTCCAGATGGGGATTGGTTGTTAGGGGAACCAGCCATGTGATTAGAGGGTTGGAACTTTCAGCCCCACCTTCTAACATCCAGAAAAGAGAGAGGGGCTGGAGACTGAGTTGAATCAACAATGGCCGATCAATCATGTCCATGGAATGAAGCATCCATAAAAAACACTAACTTAAGGGGTTCAAAGGGCTTCTGGGTTGGTGAACATGTAGGTTGGTGAGCACATGGAGATGCTTGGAGAATGGCACACCTGGAGGGGGTATGGAAGTTCCATGCCCCCTGAGTTGTATCCTTTCACCATAAACTGGTAATCTAGTAAGTAAACTATTTTCCTAAGTTATGTGACCCATTCTAGCAAATTATCAAACCCAAGGAGGCAGACATGGGAACTACCAATTTATAGCCAGTAGGTCAGATGCACATGTAACTTCCTGGACTTGCAATTTTCATCTGAAGGGGCAGCTCAGTCTTGTGGGACTGAATCCTTAACCAGTGGAATCGGGGGCTAACTCCAGGTAGACAGTGTTAGATAGAATTGAAATGAATTGAACTGAACTGTAGGACACTCAGTTGGTGTCCAAAGAGAACTGGAAAATTGGTGTGGGAAATGATCTACACATTTGGTGGCCAGCAATATGGAGAGTGGTGATGAATAATGGAAACAAGTGTTCTCCTTTCAGGCATCAATATAAGACATTATAGTATGAGGAAACAGAAGAAAGACAAAGGATAACCATTTTAAAAAGCAGAAAGAAAACTGGGCTAACTTCACTCTGCAAATATGTTTCATAAGCCAGAGAGGCAGAATCTAGAATAAAAGCATGAATCAGAGTCCAAGAATGTTTTGGAGATATATGAAGGAAGTCCTTATAAAGCTGAACTGTCATTATCTAAATGAAAATCAATCACAAATTGGGAATGATAATAGACAAACCTCTGGATCAAATCTGCCTTAACACTATTATGAGTTTGGGGGCTACTAAAAATAATAATAATAAATACATAAGATGGAGAAATGCTATTTGAGAACACAGTCCTAAGCCATCAACAGCAAGCACTCTCTTAACACAGCGTACTGTACCAAAACCCAAAGAAAGTTTTAAAACAATTTAAATTTAAAAAGCGAAGGAAAGAAGTCTCAGAAACCGTTAAAACTAAAACATAAAAGAATTCAAAAATAGAACCCCCTTTTATTGACATTAGCTTTGGTGCAGGTAGGTATCATCGGCACTCATTTATTTGACCACCACTATGATTTGATAAAAATATGCTTAAGTATTAAATTCAGTATTTTGTTTTTTAGAGCTAATATAATTAGAATACATTATAGCTGCCAAGACTTCTTCAATTATCTGACATATTCAAAACTGAACAAAAGAATACTGATATACTTTCAGAAAAAAAGTTGGGTTAAAAAGAGAGTAGCAAAATTAATATATGGATATAAAAACAAGAAAGCACTAAAAAAAAAAAATTCAAAAAAAAGAAAGCACTGTACACCGATCAGATCATCCAACACCCAGAACACTGGCAACACCAAAAGCTGATGAACATGTGTAGCAACAAGAACTCTCATTTATTCTTGGTAGGAATGAAAAATTGTACAGCCACTCTGGAAGACAGTTTGGCAGTTTCTTAAAAAATTAAACATACCCTTATCATATGATCCAGTATTACACTCGTTGGTATTTACCCAAAGGAGTTGAAAACTTAAGACTCCCAAAAAGCACACTGATAGCAGCTATATTCATAATACCAACACTTGAAACAACCAAGATGTCCTTCAGAAAATGAATGGATAAATAGTGATACAGCCAGACAACAGAATAATATTCAATGCTAAGAAGAAATGAGCTTTCAATCCATGAAAAGACATGGAGGAAACTTAAATGCATATTACTATAGCAAGTATGGAAAATCTCTGTAGCTTCCTTTCAATTCTGTGAACTTAAAACTGCTCTAAAAAACAAGGTCTTTAAAAGTATACAAATACATTCAAGTAACAAAGAAAAAACATAAGAACAAAAAATCAAAGGGGAAAAGAAACATAAAACAAATAATAAAATGGCAGGCTTAAACTCTAAATTTACATTAAATGTAAATGGCCTAAATACAAAATTCTAAGACTGCTGAGTCAGGCAAAGTGAATGAAAAACCTCTGCTGTCTATAAGAAACTCACCTCAAATAAGTAAGTGATATAACAAGGAACCAAAGACTCAGTAAGGATGCAAAAAATTCTCACCA